AAAAAAAAAAAAAAAAAAAACAGAGCATTCATACGTGCTGCGGAAACTGCGGAGCCTGGCACTAACTTCCTGGGGAAAATTCCTTCCTGGCCAGGGCCGGGCTGCCCTGCGCCTGCCCCCCCGGCCCCGGCGGGGGGCCCCTGCCTGGTCGGCCATGATCATGATCGAACCGTACCGGAGCCCCTTCAGCTCGGAATCGTACCTCGAAATCATCTCGGGTCGCATAGCAGGAAGAGACCTCCAAAACGGGCCCCGACTCCCGGTTCAGATCGAGGCCAATGATCTTGATCAAGTTCTGTATCTCCTGCAAAACGGCGCGTCGACTGCGCATGTCGACGCCGCGACGCCGACGCTCAAGGCACTGGCCTCGTTGGCCATCATCTGCTTGAGCGTGGCATCACGCACGTTGAGAACCTAGCCACGGCGAGATGCAAACTGTCTCACTACTAGAGCCCTTCTCTTCCTCGGCATCGAGGCCTTGCCGCGGAGTGGGAAGACGCCCCACTTGTCTCGGCCGATGACGCTGAGCCCGGCCACAGCTAGAGCCTTTCACCGAACAAAAACACCAAAGAAAGCCCCGCAGAAAAAAGGCGCCCTCGTGGCCCGGGCCTTTGCCGAGTCTCCCTCGGTGAGGATCAGCGTGCACTCGCTCGACAGCTTGCCGCCTCTGCTCCCGGCTGCACTGCACAGGCCACGCAAAACACACGAAGCATCTCGTGACACCTGCATCGTTGGCGTCCTCGAGCTTCGGAACGCCCGTGAGGCGAGCGACACGGCTGGTGTTGGCCTGTTAGTGGGCTCACCAGGTGCTCACAGCCACCACTCGCTATGTCAATGCTTGCGCCTTGAGCTTCTTTCCCAGGTCGACCTTTGATTTTGCCATCGCCGCCATGAGGATGAGATCTACCACGCCACACGTTGCCACCTGACCCGACTTATCAGAGGCATGAATCAGCGGTCTACCCGCCCTTCCTCTGAAAGGAACTTCTCGGACAGCTCACAGCGAGACCCGAATTTGGACTGTTTCGTCATCAATGTCTCCTGAGGAGCGCGACGCAGCAAAGGGGCGAGGCAGCAGTGTGCTCTCCGCAGCCCAAAGAACATCTCATACTTACAAGCAGACAGCGAGTTCTCAGAGGCTCCGTTCAAGCGTACCTGGACTCAAGTACGAGGCTCCCCGTGCAACCACCCGCGCACACAGGCGCACACACACGCACACACGACAAACGAGCAGGATGTATACTCTGCTCGCAGACAACTCTCATCATGTCAGCGGGAGGCATCCTATATATTTCACTTCACTTAACTAGGATTCTGAGGGAAATACTCCGCGACTCCCCAGGCCGTGCGGCTGAGAGCTGTTTGAAAGTTACGCGCCTTTTGGGCCTCGGAGAGGCGGCACTCGGTGCCCGGTGCCCCCCCCCCCCCCCCCCCNNCCGCTCAGAAAAAAAGGGGGGGGGGGGTGGGGTGGTGGCTCTGTTTTCGGTCTTTTTTTGGAGCGGCCTTAAGCGGCCAAAAAAGAGGGCCGACTCTCATATCTGTTAGCTGTTAGTTGTTGTCCCATATTTGGATCCGGAGTGTACCCCGACACTACGACGACCTACTAAAAGAGAGAGTTCCATTGGCTGTGCAGGAGGTCTTGGTCCGGTGTCTCGAGTCTCCATGTTTGGGCTCTCCGGTCCCTGCGGGAAATATGTCGGAGGCTGTTTTTTGGTCTATGGCATCGGGAGGCTATTCTATGGAAGAGATTCAACCCCACACGCGATGCGCCTCGAATGCGCATCTCTGACCTAAATTTGTAGGACTAGGAAATACTAGGACCACCCGAAGAGATCTTCCGGGGTAGAGGCTTCGAGGGATATTCCGAGGGTGATCTCTCCTTCGTCTGCGAGTCGAAGGCCGGATTCTCCACCAGGCACTTGATGAAGATCCAGAGGTGGTTCCTGGCGCGGCGCAGAGGCAAAAAAAGGGGATAGGTGCTAAAAAGAGAGGGCGCATCATGGCGGAGTCGGAGACTCTTGGCGCCCGGCTTCACGTGATGGGGCCGAACGTCCACTCCTCCCTTCATCTTCTCCTTGCTTTGAAGCCGCACCTTCTCCAGGATCGCCTGAAGCCCACGCGCGCAGAGGGAGGCGGCCCCCCCGCGAAGTTCTTCGGCCTCGACGACCTGGTCGCTGACGTGCGTGACGTGGGTCCCCCCGCGGATCGTGCAGATCGAGTTCACGAAGCTCACCTGCGATCGGCGACAGCGACGCGACCGTCGCAGGGACCGGAGAGTTCCAGTTAACACCGCGCCTGATGGAAGCCCGTCTCCGTCAGGCTCACGCAAATCTCCCACCTGACGCGCGGCTGACGGCCCAAAAGCCACACCCTCTTCCACACACACCGCCCTTTTTTTCATACCCCGGGCCTGTCGGAGCACTTCTCGTAGATCTGGGGCACGCCCTGGCGCGTCAGCCTGCCGTGGCCCCGCAGGACGCAACGACACACAGACGCAAACCCAATTCACACATCCTCTCTCAAACTGCGGCAGCTGCTCAAATACAGGTCACAGTAGTCTCTGAAGTTCTTCACGTCGAGCTTCTCGCCATTCAGAAACACGCTGCAACGCTCCTGAGGACAGTCGTCGCCGTAGCTTGACTCAGAAGAAGCTCGCTTGAGAGGCCGGCTGCTGTGGAACCCGCCACATCGTAGACGCGCTTCGTCAGCAAGGAGACGATGTCCTCCTTGGCACATCTTAGACTGCGACGGGGACGTGTATAGGCCCGGGCCCCGCAACGCGGCGACCAAGCGTCGTCCAGGCGCGCCATGCCGAACTTCGCCAGGTCCGGCTTGAAGGTGATGCAGGTGAAGGACTTCTCCTAGAGAGACATTCTTATGAAAAGCCGCTGGCTCCGCTTCGTCTGCTCTCCCGCCTTGGTCGCTTGAATCTCCGGCTTGCCCTTGACCTGACTTGAAGTCAGACACTCAACTGCCAGAGGCTTTCATCCGCAGTATCCGCAGGCCTGCATGTTGTTTTTGTACAGCTGGCTGAACCTAGCCCGCCAGGGGGAAACAAATTGCAACGAAGGCCTCGCTACTGAGACACTTTCCGACAAGCCGAGGTGGCGCCTGTTCTTGCCGTCGCAAGTCTCCACTTTGAACTCCGTGGAGAAGACGTTGGCAAGCTTGGCACCGTAGCCGTTCCGGCCTCCCACCACCTGAAACACTCCGCCACATCGACAAGGATGGCAAGACCGACCAGAGCCCGACGGTCCTACTCCCACCTTGGAAGAAGAGTCGTCGTAGTTGTCACTGGTCAACAAGTGGCCAAACACGAGCTCTGGGACATAGACCTGCCAGAACAGAAAACTGCTTGCGAAGGCAAGGTGCTAAGCCGCTAAGCGGGCAGCTGCAGCACACTGCGATTTCGGCTGTGCGGGGTGCCCCTTCCTCGCCCATTTTTGCACAAAGATCGTTGGCCGCTGAACGCCGCACAAGACAAGGCCTGAAGCCGTCTTGCTTTTTCGCCAGCTAATTACGCTTCCTAATGATCACGGTGATGCAGATCACGGTCTTCACCGCCTCAAGTTGCCGGTCGGACACTTGCGGTCCTGGCGATAGGCCCCCTGGCAATCTGCAGAAAGGGCAGGCTGCGCCGAGCAGGATGCGGAAGGGCAGCCGCGAACGTCGGGGGTCTCCGGTGTAATAGGAAGCGGTGTGGTGTGGGTCCCCGTCTGCCCCGTCTCATGGGCCCTTTATTGCGGCCTGGCCCATGGCTGAGAGAGAGAGGGCTTTCCGCTCCTCGCTCGTTGCATCCCTGGCTGCTCCAATCGCCAAGTTGCCGAGCCGGAGCGGCCCGATGCGCGTTCCTCGGCTCTCGGCTCTTCGCTGTGAGGCCGCGCTCTAAACTCTAAACGCTTCGGAGACGGTGAGTTTCTGTCAGAGAGAGGGAGCGAGAGACGGCTTTTGTATCCGCTTCTCTTATGGCCGAAGAACTGAGAAGCCACTCTACCGTGAGGCCCACAGATTTGCACATTCGCCGGATCTGCCGGTTGCGGCCTAGGCCACACGACACTCCAGACGCTAGCGCTGGCAGTGGCTGCCAGCTCTGGATCCTGCCTTCGCGAATGGCGAAGCGCAGGACAGCTCGCGGCATCCGAGCCTCGTTCGAATCACTTCGCCTTGGAGGTCGAGGCTTGCCGAATGCGTTGCGAAGGCGTTACCGTACTTCGGTTCAAGTGCTCTGTGCAGGATGGCTTACAGTTCTCTCTGGATGCTGTGGTCCCTGTTGCGTAGTCAAACCCAATATGTGTTCAAGCACGGGGTACAGCTAGCAGGAGTCGCTTTGCTTCTGAAATCATGCTCCGCGTGTGTGGTGCCGTGACAAGTCGTCCACGGAATTGACAATCCTCCGCAATCGTGCTGCGCAGGTATTTGTTCAGAACGATTCGTGCTTGGAAGGTCGAACCATGTCAACTGTGATAATGGCGTATCTGCATCCCCACGAAGGCGGGATCCATGATTTTTGCTGGACTCCTGGAGGTGTTGTTGCTGGTCTGGGTGGTCCGCTCGTGGTCTCTTGTGTGGTGGTCGTGTGCTCTCTCCGTGGTCCTGGTGGTAGTGGTTGGGTCGTGGTCATGGTCGTCATGGTCGTCATGGTCGTCATGGTCGTTGTCGTCATGGTCTCCTGATCGTCCTACTTGCGTCTAGGTCGTCATTGTCGTCCTCCCTGGTCATCCTCCTCGTCGTGGTCGTCCCGATGAAAGAGCACTGTCTTGGGATCTGCGCTGGCATAATAGAACGGCTTATCGACGTGATACAAAAGGGCCTATAGCAAGAATCAAAAAAGTGTCGGATGTATGGATCGCTGCTTCAAACGCACTCGGTCTCTGCTCGCGACTTTCAGCAGTTGCATGCAGGCTGTTGGACCTTGCCCTCACCATAGGCCCTGGCACAAGACTTACGGCGCAGGGCAATGTCATCCCCCGCTTCGTGTTGCCGTCCCTGATGTTGACACCTGTCGGCCACAATGTCCTACTACAGGCACACGTTAGTTCAGAGAGCGGCCTACCTACATGCAAGCTGATGTGCTATGCATCAAAGAGGACTTACGATCGGCACGTGAAGACAACAAGTCTGTTCGTCAATTCCAGCAGAGACAAGTCGATGTCATTCAAGTACAGCCGAGATACAACGACCGAAGGCCGAAAGAAGTGATAGAAGCGGTAACCGACTTGTTTGGTAAACACAGGAAAGCACAAAAGAGGATTTTTCAGAGCTGTAGAATGTCCGAGCACGTAGCCCAGGCTTGGACCTTTTCAGACTCATGGTGAAAGGGAGGATGTTCCAGGCGGACGGTCTGCTTTGCCTGTCTCCGCTGCAGCTGTTTCGCGGCTGTGCACGCTTCCCATTGGACTCAATGTGAACACTGAGGTCAATCGGGGTCTGACCAGTGCACACTTACTCGCATGCCATCACGCGTCATGCCTTCGAGCATGCCTTCGAGCATGCTCGTTCCCAGGTTGCGGCCTTCACCCTTGTGCCGAAGGTCAGCATGGCGAGAGAGCCACGAACCAGAACGACGGGGAATGATGAAGATTGAGGGTTCCGCGTTTCGAGTTGGGCACATAGCCGAGTGACAGTGAGATTCAAACCGAAGATTTCCTTCGACCGGCAACCATGACAAACGGGCTTTTCGAGTGCACAAATATGGAATCCGATATCACCAGCCTAAGCCCTCTGGCCCTATAGGCGAAGATTGGACGGCCTTCCCGCAGGTGCTGGAGGCTCCTTTCGGTGGGAAGCGGAGCAACGCTCACCAGATACTCCTCCGAAAAAAAGCTGCGCAGCACGCTGCAATCCGCTGCACATGCTCTCGTACATGGCTCCGACTCTCCTTGTCGCAGCTGTTGGGCCCCGTGAGTTGGTTCACCATATCCGACGAATCTGTAAAGAGCAGCAGCCCAGCGGAAGCTGCATCCAACCGCCCTCAGACAGCCGAATCATTGATTGAGCATGCGCAGACTGCGCAGCTGTGATTGCCAATTTGCTGCTCAGTGGGCCAACGGGCCGCAGCGCCGGCACGTGCGGTGCAAGGAGTTCGCTGTAGGCTTTGGGCAAGGCATCCTGGGAGGAGCGCAGACGCACGCAAGCACAGGAGCCTACAGAGGCCCGGGTGTTAAGCTCTCTGAAAGCCGCCTGGAGTGCGGGGAGGTGCTGGTCCGTGGCTTTCGTTCTCGACTTCGTGCGCAAGGACGTGACGACGCCCGTGGGCTTGTTGAAGAGGACGAGTCCTGGGCAGAGTCTCTTCAAGGTCTTTTCGCGCGCGCAGGCGCTTGCTTCTCTCAGCCGTGCTTCGGGGCGCTGTGGAGTCCCAGTCCGGGAGAACGACTTTGCCGAAGCCTTGGACTTCAATCTCGTCGCACTGGAACACGGCATGGAATGGGTCCCAAACGGTTGCCTGGCTCTGGGCTCTCCCATTTTGAAAAGTTCCCCTACTGGTAGCATCTCTGAGGACCGCTTGCCTGGTTCACGGTCACGTGCCCGGCTTTGACTTGCCGTGCGGCCTCCCGGCGACTGAAGACTCCGGCCTCAAGCCAGCTTAGGCTTCTGCATTCATCTAGCAGAATCTGGCATGAATGCAGCTTCGTCCGTTCGGCAGAATTGCAAAAGTAAGAGCCGCTAGTTACTCTAGTTCAACCCCGCAGTCTCCAATCTCCATCATGTTCCGTCACCTTCTCTCTCGCCGCGCGCCTTGCTGAGGAATCGCTCGAGCTTGAAGACTCGCCGATCCTGGAGGAGCTTTGTGCTTTGGGCTCGAGCTGTGGTGTCCGTACTGCTGCAAAGGGTCCAGGATGGCCCAGGGTCCTGTGCGGATGCCTTGCCGCAGTGTTGCGCAGGCCTTGATGCCAATCGCCGCGCTGCTGCAAGCATGCTGCGGCATGTCCACATCAGGGAAACCCGCCAGCACCTCAACAGCCCAGCACAGCTCGGTGTAGAAGCTTCGCCCCTTTGCTGCCCGCACCGCCCGCACCGCCCGCACCGCACCTCGCTGAGCCATCGGAGACCGACAACCGCCGCAGCTGCTTCGGGGAAGGTGCCTCCGCGGCTCCAGGAAGGCCCCAAAGCGGCGGGCGGCGGTCGCTGAAGCGCGCTCCGCCCACTGACAGCATGCCATGGCAGGGCGAGGGATACAAAGAGCGCTTTGAGCCTTTTTTCTTGTCAGGCTTGGGGAAGCCACACCACTTCTTATTTCCTAGGAGCCACCAGAAAGCACCAGACCTTCTGCTCCTTGTGCAGGACAACGGGGAGACCCCTGGACCCGGCACTCTTCGGCTCAAGGTGTCACAGAAGCTCTTCAAGCGCTCTTCTCGCCTGCCGTTGTTCCAAACTCTGATGAGGCCCTGCTGTTGTTCGATGTCCACTTTGATGGTGTCCATGCCCTGCGCGACGAGCAACTGCGGAGCAGCATGCGGAGCAGCAGCCGAGCAGCAGCCGCCGCCCCCGCATCGCCCCGCCTGTGGGTCCCGCATGAGGTTGTCTGCGGCATTCACCAGGATTTCATCGAAGATTTTGTAAAGAGCAGGTACCTGGAAAGCGACATCTTCCGACATCCCAGCGCATGACTGCCGCACCCCCGTGCGCACGAAGCTAATCTTTCGATGCACCATGCGACTCTGCACACCATCGAAAACCCAGAGGTCCTCGAAAACATCAACAACTTCGGTTGCACTTGTACAGTAAAGCATCTAAGCTGAACCCCTGCCTGAACCTGGGCTTCCGTCGAACCCACATAGGTGTCAGGTCGCAGTAGAATATGCTCCAGCCTCAAAGCCAAAGCCACGTATGAGCTGTGCATGTTCCTCTACTCTACGCCTCCTTCGTGCTTGCCGGACAGAGACGGGTCACCTAAGGCTGCCGCTGGGTCTTTTTCTGGTAGATCTGCTCGATGGACTTGCCTTCACGTCCTGCGTTAGGCGTCGAGTCCGCGTTAGGCTCTGCGTCAAAAGCCTGGGAAGCCGCTGCCTTTAGTATGAGATGCATTGGCCATCTGCACACCGTGTCTCACTGTGCACAGTTAAGACATCCATGCTACCACAAACCCTCACGCTTGAGCCCAGGCATGCATGCCAAAACAAGACTCAAGCCGCTAGGAAGAGCTGGGGCATCAGAAGGACCCAGGACTTTGCCACTCCCTTTTCCAGCCGAGAGTCTCGAGCTCTGCAGCAGACAACGGCCTGTCAGATCAGAAGCCTCATGGCTTCGACTCGAGACCTCGGTGCCCCCGGTGTGCCGTTGCCAGGGGTTTTTCCCTCTACTGTAGCCTACAGGACCCCAAGCCCTGCAGGGGCCCAGGGATGCATCTCTTCTTTTCCTGCACTTCGCTGCTGGTCGACATTGCGCCCTCCGGCATCCGGCATGCGTCTTCTTGGGGGCCGCGGGAGTCTGGAGAGTCCGAAGAGCTCTTTTGACGCTTCCGGGGCCGCCGTGCACGCTCGCAGTGGAGAGGAAACTCGTCGGGAGGTCGTCCACGGAGTCCGCCGGCTTTCGGAAGAGGCCTCTCATCTCATCTCTTCCAGAGCTGTGCGACCTCTCGGCGCGCGAAGCGAAGCAGCGGAGGCGCGCCCTTCGCGCCCTTCGCGCCGGCCTTCGGCTCGTCGCTCTTCCAGCGGAAGACCGCCTCGAAGGCCGCCTCGAAGCTCGCTCTCCCTCCCTCTCGCTCCCTCCCTCTCGCTCGCTGCGTCCCCGCGGCATTGAAGGGCGGCTTGGTGACATCGAAGGACAAGAGCTGCCCTGGCCTCAGCGCCACGACGTTCTTCCAGCTCCATCCTTCTATAGACCCTGAGCGCAGGGCTCGATGTCCACCATATCTCGTATGGCAACTGGCGGCACTTCGTTCTGCACGAGCCTTTCCCGCATGCCCCGCTGTTATAGATCCGCTCAGAGCCGCTCAGAGCCGCTCTCCCGAGGCTCGCACATCACCATCCTATACTTGGAAGAGTTGACGCTCTTCTCGAGGAAGCTGTGCACCGCTCGGTTGGGTCTCAGCGTTGCTTTCATCCGTTTTGGCCAAGGCGGCTACGGGCGGCTAAGGCTTGCACAAGTGCATCAAGACATCCTGCGGGAAACAGCAACACCTCAACGCGGAGAACTCATTTGGGCACTCCGGACTCCGGTCCTTCACCAGCAGAAGGTCCGCCGGAGGAAGCTGCTCGGAGACCTGCGCGCAAACGCACCGCAGCCAGCCGCAGCCTTGCCCTCGCTTGCGGAAGCTCTGGCTGCTCTATCGCTCTGTCTCTGGCATCGCCGCAGAGAGCCCGAGCACTGGAAAGCCTCTAGCGCCGCACCGGAACACGTTTTGGCGACTCCGCTTGCCGAGTCCCTGAGTCATGTTCCCGTGGGTCGCGAGGTTGTGCCCATCCTGTCGCAGAGCTCTCTGGATGCTCTGATCGTTCGCACCGTGCAACTGTCAGCGACGAATATCCTGGAAATATGCGGCATTCTCCGCCACCACATATGGCACAACGTCGATGCCCGTATAATGCCTCGTGCCAAAGAACATGATCACGCTTCCGTCGCCACTGCGACAGCCTGGGATCCCTGAGGTTTCTGCACGCCCTGCCAGTTCATGAACCTCTGGTACCCTGAGGGCCAGTGCCCACAGCCTGGAGGCAAAAAAGGGGGCAGAGCATGGCTCTGCCAAACAGAGCCTGGAGCCAGCTTTGGCGCCTGCGTCGACCACGGAGCGCACCGAGTGGTCCCGTAGGAAGGATTCCAGGAAGACCCGGAACCTTAAGATGATGCAAGCCAGGCCCCGAATGCCCCCAATGCACCTTTGGGATCCGCCGTCACACTTGGGATTCGGCTCCCGGGTTGTTTCTTCACGCGAACCCAATCCCGACCGGGCGTCTGCGCCCCACTCCTCTTTCCAGCGCGCGAACAAAGGACTCCGGGCTCCGTCTCGGACCAACACCTCCCATGCGCATCTCTCCAACGCGCCTCACGCGCATAGATGCGGGAGAAGTTCGCTTCCGAGGCGCCGGGTACCTATAGTGGAGGCTCCACTGATGCACCGGGCAAAAGGTGGGCCATGGGATCCGGACAGTGTCTGGCACCACCTCGAGACACAGACGACACAACGAGCCGGCTTGGATGCCGTCTCTGACGCATTGGCCTCCACCGCATCACCTTGGCTCTGAGACTTCAATGGTGACGCGCCTCTCTTGCACAAAACCTGCATGACGTCGAGCCACTCTCTTCCCTGGCTGATGCCTGCAGTCCAATGAGCAACGAAAAAATGCCGTGCAGCATGAGCATCTACAACAGCCGGCTCACTCACAGCTTCGAAATCTTAACCAGAGTATTGGATCGTTCAAGAACCCTGCAGTCTCCATCATGTTCCGTCACCTTCTC